GAAAAGAGCCGTTACTGCTTGACTTCCAGTCCACTTATCAGCTTCCAAATACACAAAATTCCAAGTCAATGGTGGGGTCTGGTAAACGCGTCAGCTCTGGTAAACCGTGATAATTTCAGGCTCGCATCACACGTTTAGCACAGGAAAGAACTGAGGAGCAGGCTTATAGACTTTCCTTACTGAGCTCAAATACTTATTCACATACTTACAGATATGCTTTAAGTCAAATGTGCACAGTGCAGTGACCTATGTTGTCGCATGTACTTATAACAGCGCTGGCCTAAGTCCGTGCTAAGACTTGCGTCTATTCTTCAGAGCACAGCCGTGGGTGCCCTGGCGTTCCCGCCCTCAGCCTATTTCTCACGTTACAGTGCATGCCATGCTGCGTGGCGACCGTGTGACAGGCCCAGTTATCGATTGTCGGTTTGCCTGCGTATGCTGAGTGACATGAGAGTCACTCTACGTTGGCCATTAACGCCTGACTCTCAGTCCACAGGCCAGTGTAACAGGACACGCAATTGTAAGATTGCCTTGTTTCAGATATTCTCTTTGATATCAATTGCCGTTTGACATCGTCAGATTACCTTATCAACAAAGAGTGGATTGTTCTGGTTGCCTTACTTTTTAGGCTGGCGATCGCTCGCTCATTTCCACAATTGCCCATGAGGTGAGCCACTCGTGGACGGGTAATCTGGTCACAAATGCGTCGTGGGAGAACTTTTGGCTCAACGAAGGTCATACCAAGTACTTGGAAGGCTTAGTTTTGGAAGCAATGTATGGATCGGACTACCGCGAACTTCATATTGAACTTGGCTACGAGGACCTTAAGGCCTGCGTAAGTTTTTGTTTTCCATTCAGCGTTTTGATTTACCCCCGACATATAATTTGGTTAAATCATGAACTGAAACTGACGACCAACTCTGTCTGCGATTGGTCAGTCAATTCAGCGGCTGGATTCGATGCGAACCTTTTCATCAAAAAGATTCACGTTCCTTTGACATCCTCAAACATAGGGCAAACTTGGCGCTAAAGTTGCTATTAGCGAAGACTGTATCGGAAGATCTCTACGGGCACTGACATAAGTTAGGAAAGGCTGTTCAGCTTTTCACCACCTGGGTTCTCAGGACTGTCATTTGTTTTTCACTAGCTTGTAGATGATTTGGCTTCGGTTCACAAAGACCTTCAATGACATATATCTAAATGGTTTCTCCAGTTATAAGAGGAAATTTGTCGCCATCCCATTATAAAAGATTTGGTAGACGGCGGATATTCCAAAATCAATCCACCCGAGCCTTCGTTCGTGCACGTCTTGCTCGAGCACTGCGTATCTTTGGGCTGTTAACATATGCAGGGGCGGTACCAATTTGTACAAACAAGTGAATCTTGTTTTTACTTTGCCGTATTAGAATTACTTCTCGTTTTTCCTTTTATAACCCCTGCTTTCCTTCCTCATGTTATTACTTCTTTTTGACAGTCTTTAACTGATTTTTATCTGCTTTATGAAGCAATTTCAATTTACCTGTTTCTCCTATTAATGTCTTCGTGTTATCTCGCGATAGTAGGCAGTTAAAACAAGTACTCTGGTTTTTTGACTTCACTAATTTCTGCTCGTTATTGATCCGATACTTTCTTTAAGAATATCGGTTAACGTACGATAATATAAAGGAGTATCGAAATACATACTCATCAGGTATTAACCTTTTTACTTAAGCATATCGTTGCAGTTGGCTGAAAGAGAGCTAACATATAGGGAGGCCAACGATATTGATGATATTGTCCCTATCAGAGGATGCATAATATTTTGTTGCACGGAGCCCACACCGACGAATTTGGAGCAGCTCCTAGTAGCTCATGTCAAAGAATCGTGAGTGAAAGCTAACAAATTAATGTTTCAATGTGAAATTATAAAAGCGTTTGCAGATGAAGGCGGGTTACCAGATGAAGGCGGGCCAAATGAAGGCGGGTTACCCGTTAGCCAAGCTGCAGGCTACCTGGCGCGTCCACG